TCAGCACTTTTATGTAGAGGAAGGAATGGCAAGAGTGAACAAGAATTTTAGAAATAAAGTTCTGAGAACTCACATGAGAGTGAAATGGAGGGGGCTGACTTTACCAGCAGGGAGTGATTAGGAACTGCCTGTTGGCACAGTGTGATTCCTTAGTTAATAAGCCAATCTGAGAATTTGGAATTGAGAAACAGCTACACTCCTACTCAAGGTTAAACTTAGATAAATTTGAGAGCTATGGGTAGCTATCTTGTACTTACCAAATGGCCCGAGTAACCAAGAAAACCAGTTTATTGAGGAAGGTCAATCTGTTGTACAGAGGAGAGTGTCTAGGTTCTTGGGGCCCTCCAGCAGCTGGTTCAGAAAGGGACCAGCTTGATTCCTGCCCTGGCCTCTTTATAATGCAACATTTTCTCCCCTTCTCTTCCTTTTCTCAGAACAGCTTTCTTAAACTACTAAATATAAAGTAGCTATTTTGTTCTCATATCTCTCACTGGTAGAGTAGCTGTTGTATTATCTTCACGGCACTTAGTATCTGCTAAGACTTTATGGTTTGTCCTCTTCAGAACTCATGCTGAAACTTAATCACCATTATGAGATCATGAGAGTAATGGGTTACCTCAAGAATGGATCTCTTAATAAAAGCCAATTTGGCTAGTCATGTGAGCTCTTCCTATCCCTACACCTGTGCTGTCTCTGGATTCTACCTGCAAGAAGGCCTAAACCAGATAAACCTCTTCCTCTCCCTTCCCTCCTTCCTTCCTTCTTTCCTTCCCTCCTTCCTTCCTGCCTGCCTGCCTGCCTTCCTTTCTCCCTTCCTCCATCCCTTCGTTCTTTCCTTTTTGCAGTACTGGAGATTGAACTCAGACCCTTCACACTAAGCTACAACCCCAGCCCTTTTTACAAATTTTGAGACAGGATCTTGCTAAGTCACTAAATTGCCCAGGCTGGGGATGAGCTTGTGATTCTCCTGCCTCAGGCTCCCAGAGTACTGTACTGAGATTACAGGAGTGGCCACTACACCTGGCTTTTTAAAACTTAAAAAAAAAAGCAAAAAACCATACCCAGTCTATGGTATTATTTTGTCCACAACAGAAAATAGACTAAGACATTATCTGAACGATATTTTTTATTTACTTGATTATTGTCTGCCCTTCTAGAATGTAAGCTCCATGATAATAGAAACTTTTTGGTTCTTGTTCTTCACTGTATCTCCAACATCTAGTGCTCCAACATGGTGCTTAATAACTATTTGTTGTATGCATGGATGAATGTGATGGGAGAAGGGCTTAGGAAGCTCTATAACTAAATTGTGCTATGAAGCATAGGGACTTGCAAATTATGAGTATACATGTGTAACAACCTTTAATGAATGGGATTTGTTGGATGAGAGATAATTATAAAGGCATTTTATTTTGCTTTATACCATCTGTTTGAATCTACTTCGTGAGACTATTCTTCATGAATTTTCTACTCTTTTTATTTCTACTCTTTTTAAAGGTAGTGTTATAGTTTATATCTAGATGTCTCCCCAGAGCTTCATGAGTTCATAGGTGGGGCTTTGGAAGGTAACTGAATTATGGGGGTGATGTAGAAGGTGGGGTTTGGCTGGAAGAGTCAGGTCACTGAGGCTGTGACCTGGAAGGATCTATTTTCCTCCTCTGCTCCTCCCTTTTCTCTCTGCTTCCTGGCCAACATAGTGGGAGCAGTTTTTCTTCCACCATGTTCCTCTGCCATGCTGTCCTGCCTTGGAACCAGAGGATCATGGACTGAAAATGTGAGCCAAAATAAACCTCTCCTTCTTTAAATTATGGGTGTCAGGTACTGTGTCCCAGCAACAAGAAAGTGACTAAGACAGGTAGCAACCAGTAACCATCACTTTAACTTTCATTTCAGTAATTAAAATGATTTGATGAAATAATATTTTGAAACTTCAAACTTTCTAATTAATGCTTTTTCTTGTTGCTCAGCTTAACTGTATTGCAGGTGTCTATGTTCATTGGGAAAACTGAGCTTAATAGGTATCTATTTTCCCACCTTTCTCTCCTCTCCCTCAATTTGCTAATTCTCCTTTCTCTATGGTTTGAGTAGGGAAGAAGAGAGGAGAGGTGAAGAAAGTTCTTACTTGATTAATACTGTCACAAACTAATTTTAGTTCTTATAAGTATCTAAAGCTGAGTCTTAAGGGGTCCTGTTGTAGATTCTTCAGAGATTCCCTCCCTTTTGCTGGCATATCTTCCCTATTACTAGTTACTTTAATGAGTGTGAATTCAGCTTCTTCAGTCACTTACACAGTCTTTAAAAATCTCTAGGCAGGGCCAGGGATTTAGCTCAGTGGTTCCACCGCCTGCCTCATAAGCGTAAGGTCCCGAATTTGATCCCAGGTACCAAAAAAAGAAAATATCTAGGCATTAATAATTAAATTTATTAATATATGTTTTACATAAAACACACAAATCTTAAATGTGCAAATTGATTAACTTGGCATATGTGTGTGCATGTATCTATCTCCAAAAATCAAGATAAATAAAATTTACCTCCTGCTTCTATCTAATTCTAAGTTCCAAGGCATTCAATAGTAGATCCTGTTTCTTTCGGCCAAAGCCCCCTCAAACTTTCAGATGATCTCTCCGACAAGATAAACCCATTTGGGTCCCTCTTCCCTGGCTTAAACCTGGTCTAGGGGAGCACTCATGCATCCCTTACCCTGGAAAACTATGGGAGCACAGGTCAGTCTCACCACAGCCACTCCATGCTCTGCCATATAACATGTAGCTCATTGTTCTCTTTCATTTTGGATTTTTTTAGGAATAGTGAAGTATTCAGTATCCCCTGAACATGTTAATCAGATCAGTCTCTGTGAGTAGTTTCTTTAAAGCCTTCTCAACTTGGACTGAACTAGGGAGAGACTCAAAGCCCACTAACAATGCTCACCAAAGATCTCTCTCTGATATCTGAACTTCTGGCCCCTTTCTCAAAGCAGGTGGGGCAATTAACAGTTGCAAGCTTGGTTTTCATCCCCTCCCCCCATTTTGAAATTTCACGTGGAAGTCCTATACCTCATGCTGGAATGTGCCATTTACTATCTCAGCTCCTCAGTAGAGATTAAGTCTTAAATCTCCTGGTATGCCTGTAAGTCACCAAGAGAAGGTGGTCATTGTTCAGGAGTTTTAAGGGGTAATACTGGTCCAAACAGTATTTTTTATAGGTGGCTTAGATGGGAGAACATGAGTAAACATGCATAAAAAAAGGCCCCTACAGGGCCAGGGATTTAGCTCAGTGGTTCTGCCGCCTGCCTCACAAGCACAAGGTCCTGAGTTCGATCCCCAGTACCAAAAAAAAAAAAGCCCCTGCAATATTACTGGAAATTAGATATAGAAGGATGAGATTCACTTTGAAAGGAAAGGGTAAGAGGCAAGTTTAGAGAAATAAAAGGCAATAGATATTATTCACTAAAAATATTAATAGTCTAAGTGCTAGCATTGTGTTTGTTGATGGGAATGAAAAAATGAGACAAAATTCTTGCCCACAAGGAGATCATTCAGCTGGGTGTGATGGTGCATGCCTGCAATCCCAGCATTCTGAGGAGGTTGAGACAGGAAGATTGAGTCTAGGCCCAGCTTGAGGAGCTCAGTAAGACCCTGTCTTTCAAAGAAAAGGTTGGGTGGGGGAAGACAGCTCAGTATGAAGGCCCTGGGTTCAATCCCCAGTACCTTCCCACCATCCCCACCACCCCCAAAAAGAAAAAAAACCCAGATTGTTCATGGTCTAGTGGAGAAAACAAGAGAAGTTAGCCATAATTAAAATGGGACTGCAAGTGATAGAATATGCAAATGTTGGTAAATGGAAAGAAGAGAAGTACAAGGTGCTCTAGTACAAAGAAGCACCCAGCTCAGAAAAGGAGATTGTGTTGTTAGTGAAAGCTCCTGGAAGAAGTGAGCCAAGCTGGAAGTTAAGATAGATACTAGCAGACAAAAGAAGGACAGAAATATATATATATATATATATATGTTTGGTACCGGGGATTGAACTCAGGACCTTGCGCTTGCAAGGCAGGCAGCAGAACCACTGAGCTAAATCCCTGGCCCCAGACAAAAATATATTTTAAATTGATAAGAACAGATACTACACTTGATCTTAGCCAAAAGGCCGAGAAGCGATCAGAAGTATATTTTAAGAGGAGAAAATAGAAAGAGCCAAGAATTAAGAGGCTTCTGAAGATAATAGAACCTTTGGGGAACTGAAATTGTTTGGTATGCAAGAATGAGATTTTGTACAACAGAAAATGGCCCATGAAGCTGGAAAGATGGGCCACACCAAAGTAGTGAAACCACGATGGGATACTAAAGGATTTTAAACTGGCACATGACATGATCTGATTTGTATTTCTGGAAGATTATTTTCTGTGGTGTGGATAATGGGTTAGAAAGAAGCAGAATTGGATGCTGGGATATCAGAGTTAGATGTTGCTATGAATGTGCACAGTGGGATTGGGGATGAATAAGAAAGGAAAAAATTAAAGGCACTTCTGATTCAGAGTATAAGGAACGTGGTAATTGAATAGTTTGGATGGTAAATGATCAGTACAGGTTGGGTGGGTTGAGTTTATGTTTCCAGAGGCTCAACTAAGTGAGCAGAAACCTAGACTGAGTTTTAGGAACCAGTATTTATGCAAAGAAGATAGAGCCATATAATTGAAAGGTGTGATCAGACTGAAGACAAGACAGAGCTCAACAAGAGAGGGCAGAAAATTGGAGTGAAGTTGAAAAAGGACAGAAGTTGGGAGGGGCCCAGGGTCTGTGGACCAATAATATTGCTGACTATAGTATTGTGATTGGGGCCCCAATAGACGATACAAGTATCTCCACTCCAAAATATGTAGTTTATTTCTCCATAAACTTCCTAGAAATAATTTCATACATATAATTTATCAAAATAATTTTATGGAATGAAGACAAATGCTCACCAAGTATGGCTTACATTTCTTCAAGAAAAGATTTCTTAAAAATCTCCTGCATTATCTCCCTTCCAGTTCTGAAGCCTGAATAGGAACCAGTTTTGGGGTTGGGGGTTGGTCAATGTGAGGGGAAGAAGGCAAAACCTTGAGCTGTCCTATCCAGGCAGGAACTGCCTCCATTGCTTTTTTTTTTGATCCAGAAACTCCTTTATCTTCTTAAGACCAACTCTTCACAGTTGCCTCCTTCTTTTGCTACCAAGACTCACAAATTACTCACCAGAAACTCCCAGATAAATTGGCAGGGTGGCTGGAAGGAAATATGTTCCTGTGGGCCCTGGGCATGTTTATGGCTGCTGTGGGTCTAGGAGAAAGATTCTTGCATCATATCTTTTTTCCTTTCTCACACTGTCCCTCTTCACTCCATACTTCTACATTTACTTGTCTGGATTAAAACTTGAAAGTGATGGTGAAAAGGTGGCATGATGTTACTTTTTCTTGAAGTTCTGCAACTCTGGCAGATATCTGGGGGCTATTTCCTAAACTCGTTCCTTGCTTTGTGAGGGCACAGCCTTCTGGAGAAAGAAGAGGCTGAAGACCTGTAGTGACAGTAGAGGAGCAGGTGTATACTGATTTCTAATTCCTTCTTACTAAACTGCATGAATACAAAGGAAGGAAAGCAATGACTGACTCTTTTTGAGTTTCCCAAAGGGTCTCTAGTTTTTTAAAGAAGAGCTGTTTTTCTTCTTTGGCACGATCTTCATTGTCTTGCCAGAAGTGATGAGGTCCCCAAAGCCCTGTTGGTGGGAGAAAGCATATGCAGAACGTCGAAGGCTTGAGTGTTTCAATCTGGTCTGGATTGGGGGTGGCAGTGGATATTTCATGCAATGATGAATTCTGTCAAAAACCTAAATACAGAGCATGAGGGACAGGGTTCTTATCCACAAAGGGAAAGGCAAAGAAGCTCATGAGTTATATCTAGGTAGCTCCCTTTCCACTCACCTTGTCCACACTGACAGGGTAGAATAGTGGTTTGAGAAATATGTACCCAATTGCAGGAATTATACAGAGGACCGTGCTGAGGATAATGCTCAGCCACAGTTGTGGCTGGTTCAGTGAGTTCCTGGCCACACCTGTAAACAAGCCAAGAGGGGAAAGGCTGAAACAGACCCTAGAGAAGAGGAAGGGAAGAGAGAGGTATCAGCTAGAACTTAAAATACCTCTTCAATCCAAAGAAAGAAGTATTGATTTGGAGACACTGCAGTCTCCTGAGAAACACAAATGTCAGTGACTTGCAATTAAGTCCTTTGGGCAGGCAAGTCATTGTGAATTCACACAGCTTTGTTGCCCTCTAAAGGCAGGGTGGGAAAGGGCAGGAGCAGGGGCAGTGGTGGTGGTGGGATGTTCTGTGGGAATCCTAGTGCATTGGCCTGGATGCAAAAAAATGGGCTAGAACGCTTTGGAGGACAAAAATGAGTTAGTGGCCTGACAAAAGGTAGAAACCAAGTACATCTACATAACTACTCTATTGTGAGTGGAAATGAGAGGGAAATTAGTATAGGAAATACTAAGTATGCTACCACATAAAGGCTTTGGACTGGAATGAGGAAATATATATTAAGTCATTTGATTAAAAAAAAAAAGCAACTGGAGCCTCTTTGCTTGCCTCATAGGATGCTTGTGAAGATCAAACTAAATAAGACATTTGAAAAAAATATTGGAAATGCCAAAGCTAAAATATTTCCCTAGCTAGATTTTGAGTCCCTTTAGGACAGAGATCATCCCTCATATCTCTATCCACAGAGCCTAGCACATAGTATTAGCTTCTCAGTAAAAATGTATTAAATAAGTATATGTGGTTCACACCACCCCACAATCTTTCAGGCAGAGCCTTACCTAGGAATTGGAAGATGTTGGGGAACATTAGACACAAGCCATCACTGTACAGGAGGAATAACATGCAAAAGTAGAAACCCAGGCTACCCCAGATGAAAAGGTGGCTCATCAGTGTCCAGTAGGTTGTCTTCAGGGCAATCTGAAAAGCACTAGTTTATGTGCAGTACTCTATAACCTGGGACCTATCACCCACCACCTTTCTCTAATTTTTTTTGTGTGGCAGTACTAGGGATAGAACTCAGGGCCTTTGCACTGGGCTACATCCCCACCCCCTTTTTTAGGTTTTCAGACAGAAAATTGCTCAGGCTGAGCTGGAACTTGTGATCCTATTATCTCAGCCTCTCAGTACTGGGATCACAGGTGTGCATCACCACTCCTGGCTCCTTTTCCAGTTCTATAATGGAGGATGCTCTCTCCCTCCCTCCCACCTTACTTCCCTGTCCAGATAGGCTCCCCACCCAATCCCCTCACTCCCACCGCCACTGGCCACACCTGGGTTGTGACCACAAACATCAAGGAGGTCTGTACTATCAAGGAAAAGGTCTGGAAGTCAGAGATATCCTTCCCATCACTGCGCTCTGAGTTGTGAATGGTCCCCATGGGAACAAAGAACAGCACAAAGGAACTGTAGATCCCATGTATTAAACAATTCATAAATTTCTTCTTATTGAAAAAGAGGTTGTGCTGGCCTGCTTCATATAGCTCTGGGAAACACAGGCTCCACATTTCATTCACATCCTGGAAGCACCAGAAGGTAAGGCTCAGGGTCTCGCCATAGAAGGTCCCATCTCCATCAGATAAGAGGCTTCTCCCCTCACTGAGTCTGCTGCCAGGCTGCCTAGGAGCTTCCTCATGGAATACTTGAGAAGCAGAACCAGAGAACAGAGCAGTGACCACAGACCCTTCCGGAATTCCTCTCTAGGGAAGGATCTAGGAAGTAGAAGAAAGCTAAAGGAAGGTCAGAATAGTGGGAAGCATTTGGAGGCAGTTATAACTGGGGAGTTGTTAAAGGGGAACAGTTTGGGTTGGATGTAGCTGGAAGGGAGGACTGGAGCTTGGGATGGGGGAGACACTAGGACATGAGTCCTCAGCTATAAGTGTTCCTTTAATTAAATATTTTTTGTGTGTCAAAAGCCAACTAGGGTGGAGAGAAAGGCCAGTGGGGACCAGTTAGTCCCTTGAAAGTATCCATGTTCTGTGATGTACTTTCATTACTTTTATACACAATTTATGTACAGCACAATTTTTATGTTTTTCTCTACAAAGATAAAATTGACACAGGAAACAACATGGCTTTCTAAAACAGATTTTTTTTGATGTATTGGGGATTGAACCCAAGGCCTTCACACTGAGCTATATCCCCTTTCTACTGTTTTGTTCTAAGTTGCCCAGTCTGGGCTTGAACTTGTGATTCTCCTGCCTTAACCTCCCAGAGTGCTAAGATTATAGGTGTGTACACCATGCCTGGCTGGGTGATTATTTTCTGTGGCTGATTCTTTACTTCCTTTTTGACACTTTTCCAGGTGATGAGCTCCTTTCTCTGCTCTAGAAATTATTCCCTTCACATTTACTTTTGCAGAGTTCACTTCTTGCTGTCTTTCTCATGTTTGGGAATACTCCTCAAGGAGCCAGCAGCATTAACTCTAAGAGGCTTGCTTCTGGGTCTTACCTGATCAAACAGACTCAAGCCTAGGACAGGAAGGGAGGCGTAGATCAGATTGTAGCAGGTGATAAACCAGCTGTCATAAACTTTCTGGAAGAGTATCAAGGAGATTTTTAAAAAGATTCTTCTCTAAAGTCCCAGCTCTACCTCCCAGGTCCAAGATAGCTGTACCCTGTCCTACTCCCCTCCTCCACCCCTACCCTAACCCTACTAACCTAGAAGAAGATTTGGATTCTCAAAAATCTTACTGAGAGCCTCAGTCTCTATTTGATCCTACTCTGTTTAGAAGCCTGGGTCCCAGGCTAGGACAAGACCACATCAAGCTTTCAAGGCCAATCTGGACTAATCCTACCATAACCTGCATGCTCCTCCTTGCACATAAAAGGATCCCAGACTGGCTGCTAAGGAAATATAGCTGTACCCCTGCACTACTAGGCAAGTAAACATTTTGGTTCTTTTCTTTATCTGCTTGATGGCATTCAGTGGCTTCTGTAGCACTGGATGGATATCTCCTAACTGGCAAGGGGAACAGATCCAGTGACTCTTCTCCAGCTGGGTGCTCCATCCTGGGGCCTAGAGAAGATCCCTTTCTTCACTATCCACAAGAGGTCAGCAGCAACACATACATTACACACAGACCTCCCACAAACCAGTCTGGTTTCACTAGGTGCTGGCAGTGTCATAAGACTATCACTGTCCGTAGCCTGGTGTAGGGATCTCCTAGTATAATAATTCTTGAGGTTGTTTCCCTTGGGAATTCTTGAGAGACTCCTGAAAAACTTCTGATAGGAAAGGAAGTCCTCTTAGACCCTCAAAACCCAGGTGTCATTTTTCCCCATTAGGGTCCTAAAGATTTTCTATTTAAACATGCAACTAACTCATCAGAACGTGTGTGTGTGTGTGTGTGTGTGTGTGTGTGTGCACGCGCACGCGCATGCGCTCGCGCTGGCAGGGGCTGGGGAAGTCAGTGTGGTGAAGTAAACAGATGCTGTAGTTCCAAGTATGGCAACAAGTGAATGTTGTACTAGTCTGCCTGACATGACTGATCCAGAGGCTCCTTGAGACTTACCCTGTTCCATGAAGATTACTGTGGGTGCTAAGAAAAGTTATACATCTAGCAATTTCCCCCATCACATATGTTTGAAAATGCTAGTATCAATGTCAGTGAACATACATAGCTTATGGGATAGTTCCTGTAATGGGAGTCAAAGCCAAATCAGAGCCAGGCCAGAAACGTTACAGTTTGGACATTTAAGGTTAGTGTAGTGTTGGGGGGATGAGATTAGTATGGGGTAAAGAGCTTCTCTGGATGGATGGCAATGTGTCAGACACAGGCTGAAGTGAAGAGTGAATAGAGAACACTAAGTTGACTAGAATGAAAATTGACACCTAACCTCCTACCTGTGCAGAGAACCCATTGTAGAAGGCATACCAGAAGTGCACCAGGGTGAAGGCAAAGTTTTTATAAAAGAAGTAGCTGAGAAACTTGCACATGCGATTATAAGACCAGCGGCCATGGACCAAGAGAAGACGCTGAAGGTAGTGGAACTGGGAGAAGGAAAAGTCACTGTTGAGCATGGCCTGCATCCCCTCAAGGCCACTGATGCCGACTCCAATGTGGGCAGTTGCAATGAAACCCCAGAAGTTTCTAAGCCACAGAGCTGGTTTCCTGGGCTCTTACCTTGAAGAATGTAAAGGGAACACTGAGATGATGTTGTACAAATTCCTTATTTTACATTTGGAAAATGTTAGGCCCAGTTCAAAGTGGCATTTCCTTACTGGAGTCCTTTCTCCTTAATCGGTTGTACCCCTTCCCCCTCAAACTGTAAAACAGCCCCTCCTGGATTCTGCCACTCAAGAATGCCTGGTATGGCCAGTACTAGAAAACTGTCCCAGATATTCTTTGCCCCTACTCTACAGGTTTGAGTTCTTTCCCATTGTGCAGATATTGAGGCATAAATTACTTGTTATATATAGAAACCACTTTAATTAAAAATGCAAGATGGATGTCAATCTAACAAAATATTTAATTACCTACATTTATTTAAGGGGTTAAAATCCAGCTGTTGGGAAGAGTGTTATGATGTATATACTTTGTTAGTGAAAAATAAACTCTTCAGGAGGTCTAAGGTGACTTTTTCAAGATAAAGCAAAGATTATATGTAAAGGAATATAAGACTGAAGTTCCTAAAAATTTAAAGTAATCTGTGATATTTCAGTATTATCTGGCCAAATTCACTGATCTTCTGGTATATACTTGTTGAATTGTTTAATGGGATAACTTAACTCTAAGGCCCTAAAGACCAGAGTGGTTCTAGGAACTAGGGAAGAGAGCAAAAACACCTCCTACTATTGAAGTAGAAGCTAGAGTGCCTGTTAGTGTTCTGCTAGTGTATGGGAAGAGAGCTGGGACTATAGCACCTTTAGATTGTGTCCATACCTTATAGAGTGACAAGCTGCTGGAGGCTAACAACATTCACCTGAAATTAAAACTTGTAAATTTCAGCCATCTGCTTCTATTGGTCCAAAGTGCAATAAATTGCCTATTTTCCTTCATCCAAAAGAGCCAAGGCAAGTTCCTGGGAATATAGTCTCAGGTTATATTGGGCCTCACAAGCTACAGCCTTCAAAAAAGGAACAGGCTCTAACTCCTGCCCAGGGGTCCTTTCTAATGCTATCTAATACAGATAATATGGTAGCCACACAGCTTGTTGTTCTGTGAATGTATGCATGTGTTCTTGTGGGACCATATGTATCTCTGTGTGCATATCATAGTGTAGGTAAATGAATCTGAATGTATGTAAGGCTATGGATATGGGCTGTCTGCAGGTGTAAGTAAGTGAGAGTGCAGGTGTAAAGGAGGATGAATGAGGTTGCAAAACAGTATAAACATATACTGAATATGATAGGTAGGAAGTGTAAGCCAGCAACACATAACCAACCAGATTAGTTTTGCCCATGAAGGAAGGAAGGGGAAAGCTATTGCTGGAGATTATTTCCTTTCTCCCCTCACATGCCTTTGATCATGCTGACATCATTGGCCCCATCCCCGATGGCCAATGTCACCACCTTCTTGTACCTCTTCACCAGCTCTACCACCTGGGCCTTCTGAAGGGGTGTCATCCGGCAGCAGATCACACCCTTGCACATGCATGCTGTTCACAGCAGTTCCAACTCCAGGTTCTCTTCTAGAGCACAGGCCTGCAGCACCAGGACACACTCACTTTTCAGACTGCCCCAAAAGACTCTCAGGGTAGGACATTCTCAGGTCCCTCTCCTTCCCTCCATACTCTCCTGTCCTTCATAGGACAGGCAAAGCTTCTCTCAAGGTGTTCACTCCCAAGGGAAGTCAGACCCCTGAGTCAGTTCTAGGCATCTTCATGTCTGACTCAGCCTCCAATGGGAAACTGGCCAGGGCCTCTCATTGGGTCAAATCAGTTGAGGGGTATGAGGCCAAGTGACTTATTGGAGGGACCGGTTCTGCTTGCCTTTTCCCTTTCCTTCAGTGACAGGCTATATCAGTAGTAAGGAATTTAGATAAGGAAAGGATTTTTCCCTTGGCTTTTCCTTCTTCTTTTACTCCTGCCTAAAGGAGCCCGGGGAAAGGATTCTTTCAGGCAAAGATACCTGAGGGAGAGGGAATAGGGTGACTCATAGACTAGGAGAAATTTCCCTGAAGTGGGTTGGATGTAGGAAGAGAAGTTTTGGGAAGAAGAGAAGAGAGTTATAGCACTGTGTTGCCCACCAGACTGTAGCCATTGATGACCAAGCCATAGTTGCCATTGGGCTCCTTGTCAGGTACTGTGAAGGGCATTTTGGGTTTTGTGGAGAGATGAATGTTTGTTGGGTCTGATTCCAGTAGAGACTCAGGTTTCATCTTGGCCCTTGCTGTCCTGAAAGCCAAGAGTAGTGGTCAGTATTTGACTTGAAGCCCCAGGACTTAGGAAAATGTGTCCCAAGGTGAAAGTAGGCAAGGAGGGCACAGGACTGCAGGCTTGACTGTCTTCTGAGACTTGCCACTGCCTTAGGTCTAGACCATTTATATCATGCCATACTTCTCCATCCCCCATACTCCCAACTCTTTTAGCCTGAATGCTTCTTTACAAAATTCTCGCAGATATTTTAGGTTTTTTATTTCTCCTCCTTCACTGCTTGCCTGTTTCTTCTGGTGGTGTGGGGGCCACACTGAGGGAAGAAATGAGTGGGTAAAGCTTGGGTCCAGGGATTGGCTCTCACCTGTACCTGACTTCTTGATAAACTGTCTCATAATTCTTGCCTTGCACCACGAACACCCCATCCATTTCATCATCTAATATACTACAAGAGTAGGCAATGTTCACAGCAGTCTCTGTAAGAAAGGAAACACAGGTCTTACTTGGCTGGTATTTACAGATAGGGTCGGGTCTCACAGTGTATAGTTACATGGGCCCTAACCGAGGACTCAGAGCCCATTGGCCCACATTTGCCTTGGATGCAGTCCAAGTGTGTTTTTCATAAATAAGTAGAGACCACATTCAAACATCCACAGGTAAGTGTCTACTTGGTACAGACTTGCAAGTAACTTATTAATAACTGGAATCATTCAGGCTTACTGTTCTCTAGAAAACCTTCCCCTGTTTCTGAAATCAATTCCAGTCTGTGTCTACTTGTCTAGGCAATCAGAATTTTTTTTTATTAAATTCTTTTATTGGTACATTGTAGGTATACAACACAATTACATTTCTCATTGGGAATTGTACCTGTACATAATGCATCTTGGTTCTTATTTTTTTCCCATTTCTAGCCCTCCCTGCACGCCCTCCACCCTTCCCTATTTACAAAGACTTTATTTTCATTTGTTCCATTTCTCATCATTTGTCCTTTCCCTTCTTTCCTTTCCCCTGCCCCTCCCATTACCCCTACCACTTTGGACCTTTTCTTCCTATTTTACATTATGGATTATTCATTCTAATCATTGGTACATGTTAGGTATACAATATAATGACATTCATCATTGGAAATTTGCACCTTTACATAGTCTCTCTTGGTTCTTATTTTTCACC